CTTTTCAACACCATACACAGTCTCCTTCGATGCTTTTGTCACCCTTTCCAAATTTTCTAGACCTTTCGGGCTATTTAGTAAAATCTCTGGTCTAAGGGCTCGAATCATGTCCTCTAAATTATCTTCATCCCCAACATGTGCTCCACCATCATTATTGGCACCACCTTCGTCGTTACCATCCCAACCACCAGCATCACCACCTTGTTTATTGCCAAACTCGAAATCCATCCGTGCATCAAGCTCTACTGAATATTGGGACAGTGATTCTATGGTTTCGTCGTCGTATTCCTCCTCATCCTCGTCGTTAACAATAACCATTTCACCATGATGAATCCACACTGTGTAGTCCTCAACAAATCCTCGCATAATCAAATGTGATATGATGATAGTCACATCTGTCCATGCCATACGGTTCTTGCAATCTTTACAGGGGCAAATAATTGTATCCTTATTCTCTTTCAATGTCGTTGCATGCTTCTTTGCGGCTTCAATAAATTTATCCACCTCTTCACGGAAACCTGCCTTGAACCTTAACGAACCATACATCCAAGAGTTCCTGTACTCCATCTTTTACAACAACAACAAAACAAATATTAAAGGACTACTTATTCAGATATATATAAAAATGAATCAAACTAATAAATACTTGAGAATAATTGTATATACTTCAGATATATATGAATATAAATCTAATATAATTACATGAAGCATACAAACACACCATGGTAGAGTAAAATTAATTAATGGTCCATTTATCCATAAATAATTAAAATACATATTTATTGATTACAATAAACAATTTCAAAGACAACAATTAGCAAAAATTATACTTTACCCAATATCTTTCATACAAACCCTAGTCCAATTTCATCAAACATAATTTTACAAAAACAAAATTAATAAAAAAACCAAACCCTAGATCTAGATCCACATGCACATGAAACATCCATAAAACTAACTAATTGTTCACTAAAATCAAGAAACATGGACCAAATAAGGGTATGATCTTGTTCCCCTCCCTAATTTACCCTAGTACATTTAAAACTTGGGTCTAATTTGCTTCATAAGTAGCTCAAGCACCATAGAAGAGAGAGAAAAACAAAACTCTAATTACTCACTAACCAACCATTAAAACTTAAAAAAATGTGGAATAGCATTTTCTTACCTTCTACAACCTCTCCATCAAAGGATTTGAGACCAAAACCTTCTCCCCTAGTAGAGCAATTTTTGGGAGGTGCCCAAGGCCTCCTCACCTTTCTTTCACGGGTTGGAGTGAGTGACCCGAGGAGAAAGAAGGTGCTGCAGCTATTTTATAGGGGGGGCATTTGTAGGGGCGGCTGGTGATTGAGCCGCCCCTACAAATCGTAGCTATAAATATGGGGCCATTTGTAGGGACGGCTCAATCACCAGCCGCCCCTACAAATAGCATTTGCAGGGGCGGCTGGTGATTGAGCCGCCCCTGTAAATGATACCCTATTTGTAGGGGCGGCTCGTAACACCAGCCGCCCCTGCTGTTCCATTTGTAGGGACGGCTGGTGTCTGGGCACCCGAGCACGCCACTGTAGGGGCGGCTCCATCACCAGCCGTCCCTAAAAAAAAAATCGAACCGTTGCTAAAAATCGTTTTTTACGTGGTGAAGGATTGGAAAAAAATGCAACACATCATTGATGCAGAGCCAGCCTACTCCGCTGGTGAATGGGGGCCGGCGACTTGACTTGGTGGCTGCACAGGGCACCACCACTACCGCGTCGTCCTCTCCACTGCAGGCTGCTCCGTTATTGCGTTGTACTGAGAGCTAGGATGAGAGGCTGAGACGCAGGGCGTGGTCGATAGCTTTGTCCTTTTGGTTTCCCCCAGCTGAAGTGCTACTAATAATGGCTTGAAATCCTAACTGAGCCAACCAAAAACTATCTCAAGCATGCACAGCACAAGTGCCATTACTCCACTAGTGCAGAAAATTAACCAAACAACCTCAAATTATACATTCAGACCCCCAAATAAACCAACTTTTTTTTTCTGTTTTGCATGTTAGTGTCAGCTCAACCCATCAGCTGAAACAGTCCAAATCCCAACTCAGGGTAGACAAGCATGTGGCTTACGGTTCACCGAAATAAATCTCATATTCTCATACCATTGTGTAACCACCCAAAAGCGTATATTGTAAATGTTTGTTTCAATTTCAAGTGCTTCAGATGTTTCAGAGGTTCGGTGCATTTGTTTCATATGGATGTTGCAACAGTAGAATTGAATGTTGCATATGTTGCAAGTATTTCAGAGGTGTGTTGCAAGCGTCTACTAAAAATGTTTCATGTGTTTTAGACGTATGTTACAAGTGTGTTCTTTTGATGTTGCACATGTTACGGTGGCTCTACACATATGTTCTAAATGTTTCATACGTTTTAGTTGTATGTCGCAGCAAGTGTTTTATGTTATATGTGCAAGCCCCCATCATTGGTGTCGTCGAGGGCTGTGGCCACTGACGTGGGAAGGAGGCGCAGGCCGCCGCCGCCGGTGTGGGGAGGGGGCTTACGCAGCGCGGCACCGGTGTGGAAGAGACCCGCACGATTCCTAGCAAAGGAGTCCTACGCGGTGGAGGTGACCAGCGCCCTGTCGCGTCCGCGTGATGAGCCGTGGGCGGTGGCAAGCAATCTGGGGGCGGGGGCGAGTCATCCGGGTGAGCCGGGGGCGGGCGGCACGTGAATCTGAGCAGATGGGCAGAACAGACGTGGGCGTCCGTCCGGATATCCAGACGCTAGCCTCTCCGTATATAAGAGATTGGTACATGATCAGCAGCAATCTACTCACTCCGTTTCATATTATAAGTCGTTTGACTTTTTTTGATACATCCATTTTTATATGCATCTGGATATAAAATATGTCTAAATATATAGTAAAATGGATGACAAAAAAAAGTCAAAGCGACGTCTGACCAAGACCGCAGGAGACGGTGAATCACACATTAGATTTCACTGGGCTGCCCTTGTGGGATTTATTTTCTGGTGCTGTTGTGCTCCGCGGGGTTCCCTAGGTCTGTTCGTGGTCAACTCGATTGGCTGCAAAATCTCTGACATTGTTCTTGTCCATTCTAAGCTTTTTCAGCTTGTTATTGGCGTCTGCATATATATAGCTCCGTCTGATTGAGGCTAAAGCTTCTGCAGGTGTAAACTTCGGCATATTATTGTGACGCCTTTTGCTCCCAGCTGACGGCTGGTTGTGTATTACTCTACGGACGGGAATACGAAATTTACAGACAATATTGTTTTACGCAATTCTGGTCTTTCACTCTTTCCCAATTCTGCACATTCCGAAATTTTCCTATGTTCAGTTTCAGTAGAGGTTATGGTTAAGGTCACTTTTCTTTTAGCACAGGTGAGTCTATAACTTTCAAAAACAGTGTACTTAGTGATGTTTCCCTCCTCTTTTATCTTCTTCCGTGATACAGAATGGCACGCAGCCCTCCTGCTTGTTCGACAGCACATAAACGATACTAGGTCTGCTGGCTCCATGGCAGGATTCTCTTGTTCCATGCCTGGATCCAGCTTCCCAGCGGGCAAATGCGTCGTGTGGAAACCAGGCAGCGGCAATGCAAAAAGGAAATACATAGAACCTCCTCAAACTTTCGCACAACATAAATATAAATACGTTCCAAGCTTATTAGAATGTACGAACCACATAAAGGTCCAGAAACTAAATAAATAATACAAGCCACGAGTTCAGCAAAAAGAAAAATGTTGCAGCAGGTTCTAATAGCAGCAGAGTACATTGAAAATTTGATACAGCATATTTTATTTATTCGAATAGAAAATAGCTCGGGGGAACATAAGAGCCAAAACCGTCTGGCTCACAGTCAAGTGAAGTTGTGTCTTGTGGCGATGGGCTCTGTTGTAGTCTTACAAGCATTGAAGCCAACTCCATTTGAGCTGCACCACGGTTCATGCAGAAATTTGGATCAGAAACATCAATAATTCTACTTAATCTTTGTGCACATACTATGCTTACAACCATAAATTATCCGATGACCAAAGTGCTTACTTCCTAGTGAAGAATCATAGAAAGATAGACTCTCACGTGACAGATTATAAACAAGTGACTTATGTAAATGTTATATCGATATAGGACATAGGAGACTGGAAAACAGAGTATCGACTGGTGGCCAGAAACAGAGTCGGTGCAGCCAGTGACTGAAAAAAACTACGTCCGTTATGTAATGGATTAAATGATGGAAAATCAGTACTCCCTCCGTCCCTTTTTATCTGTCGTTTGCGCTTCTCAAGAAACAACTTTGATTAAATATATATTAAAAAATATTAATATTTATAGTACATAATTGGTATTATTGGAAATATATTTGAATCTAGTTTTTTAATAAATTTATTTGGAGATACAAATGTTGCACGTATTTTCTACAAATCGAGTCAAACTTGTGGCACGAAAACCGGAAACGACAAACAATAAGGGACAGAAGGAGTATGTGCTAAAACAGGTTTGGTAGTTTCATACATCAGCATAGGTGTTCGCATAATGGAAATGCGACGGTGCTGTACCAGATATGTCTCTCTCAAGAATCACAAAGTTATTTGTTTGACGGAAAGTGGGCTAACACATTTTTCAAAATCTGTGCACTCGAATGGCTGACACGCACGAGCAGCAACAGTGACACCATCAGCTAGGATAGGACAGAACAGGTTGGAGAGAGTACTCACTTACACTGTACGCATGCAGATCCAAATTCGTATCTACTCAAGACACATTATTATTGTCTCCCCCTGAAAATTCGGATAAAGCTAATAATTAATTGAGTAGAGACAGGTAAGTGCTGTATATATAATCTGTCAACGCAGCATCCCTCTCCATATGCCAAAATGGAGACAGAACTGTAACAAGATATAAACAAATAATGAGATATTAACTTGATCGGAACTACAAAATTCTCAGCGTACCTGATTAATATTCATGCATACGATACGTGGGATGGTTGGGATGGACGTTGCATGCGTCTCTCAGTACAGCCAACGCAGCATCCCTCTCTGTAGCAGGCACGTCTTCACAGATGATCCGCCCTGTGAGTTCCTGAAGGAAGGCAGGTACTCCAAGTCAATATTGCCACAGTAGTCACTGTAGTTACCTTTTAGGGCCTGCAAAGGGACATTAAACTTAAGCACTTCAAGATTTGGCATCACGCCAGAGGGTACAACTTTTCTGGAGTCATTGCTTTTTCTAGAGGCAAGGGGCATAGCATCCTCTCCATTCCACATATGCAATGAAACGCTAGTGTCCTCCTCGTCGGGCTGCTCAAACTGGACCATTGCATTGGTCGCAAAGTGCGTCAACTTCTGGAAGAGGCAGCGATCACTGGAGTTAATATTGCTTGCTGTTACCGTGGACTTTGTTGTCAGGTTGAGATAACAGAGCGCCGGTAACCTAGCAAGGAGTTTCAGATCCTGCTCATCCATAGTAATCACAAACAGTGCCAAGTAGGCCAGGTTGGGAAGACGTGTGGGATTAATGCATGACGGCAATTTGGACAATCTAATTAACTGCCATCCCAAATAATGGAGAGGTCGTGGGAGCACAAAGCCTGCTGCTTCCCACATGGCTGTATCCGCGTGCCAAGGTGAACCGTGCACTTGTATATACTGGAGCTTTTGCAGATTGCTTAGAGACTCCACGAAATCTCTCTGCATGCTCTCGTCCGCCCCATCATAAGTGGCAAATGCAAGCACCCTCAGTTCTCGAAGGCTGGCAAGCTCCTTGAAAAATCTCTTGGGCTTATCACTGCAACCATTTAATATTATTAGCTCCTCCAGGGAAACCAGCTTCCCAATGCCATCCGGTACCTTTTCTTGAGCACATAGCCGGACCAGATCTTTTAGTTGCACAATGCAAGCTGGCAACGTTCCGCCCACATTGAGTGTTTGCAGTAACTTTAGATTCCCTAGTTGTATGGGGAGCTCAGGGGAACTACCGTAGAATCTTAGACTAAGGTACCTCAAGTGAAGTAAATCACCAAGATGCTCAAGGTGGCAACCTTTCTCAAAGCTGCAATCTACTATGTCCAGCACGCGCAAAAGTTTAAATCTCAAAAATTGGTCCCGGCTATCAATAAAACACTTGAATGTGGTATATGACCTCACTTTTGGCATCCCAGTAACCATTGTTTCAGAATTAATGTGCTTGGCTATTCTGTTTTGGTGGGCTAACTGGCGGACATTGCTTGGTGCTGGTGCTCCTTCAACATTGTCACCTAATATAGTAATAAAGTTTTCATCAGATGAAAGCTTACGCATCAGATCAAGAACCATATCATGAACACGACAGTATTCTACTCTGCCATTCCACTTGCTCTCCACAGGTTGGATCAAGCTTCTATTAATGAGATCATTGAAATATCTTTCTCCAAGCTCAAATAATCTTGTTCCCTGTTTCCCATCAATAAATCCTTCAGCTATCCACTTCCATATCACAGAATCCTTTTCGATCTCATAATCTTCTGGATATGTACTTAGATATAGTAAGCATGTCCTCAAATGTGGAGGCAGATCATAGTAGCTAAATGAAAGTATTGTCATAGTATCTTCAGCTTCCCTGTTATCTGTAGTATGAAAACAAATAGAGTTGTAGACCATTGACCATTTGCATTCTGGTTTACCAGACAACAAACTAGCCATTGTGATGATTGCTAATGGTATACCAGCACATTTCTTTAGAATTTTCTCAGAAATGTCATCTGGATGGTTATCAAGGAACTTTCGGTCTGCCCTAGATAACCTTGTATAAAATAATTTCATGGAGTCATCATAGGAAAGTTGTTTCAGCTTGTAAACCTCACCAGATGCTTTCGCAACATCAACATTTCGAGTAGTTGTGATTACTTTACTTCCATGATTATTCTCAACAAGTGCTAGTTCGATTGCTTCCCAGGTGCGTACCTCCCATACATCATCAATAACAATAAAATACCTATCCACACCAAAGTGGAAGAACCATTGGTTAGTAATAATGTTGGAGCTTCTATATAATTAAAAAAATTCTAACATTAAAAGTAGTCGCCATTACATATCAAACTCATGACTATTATCAGCCTGTTCGCTTGCTCGTAAACGATCGTAAATTTCCAGCCAGGAACAGTGTTTTTCTCTCAAATCAAACCAGCCAGCAGTAAATAATCCACGATCGTTTACGACCTCCCGAACAGGCCGTTATGTCAGTACAAATATACAGTGCATTGATTTGGCATCACGCCAGAGGGTACAACTTTTCTGGAATCATTGCTTTTTCTAGAGGCAAAGGGCATAGCATCCTCTCCATTCCACATATGCAATGAAACGCTAGTGCCCTCCTCGTTGGCCTGCTCAAACTGCACCATTGCATTGGTACGGAAGTGCGTCAACTTGTGGAAGAAGCTGCGATCACTGGAGTTAATATTGCTTGCTGTTACCGTGGACTCTGTTGTCAGGTTGAGATAACGGAGCGCCGGTAACCTAGCTAGGAGTTTCAGATCCTGCTCATCCATAGTAATCACAAACAGCTCCAAGTGGGCCAGGTTGGGAAGACGTGTGGGATTAATGCATGACGGCAATTTGGACAATCTAATTGCAGGCCATACCAAATAATGGAGAGGTCGTGGGAGCACAAAGCCTGCTGCTTCCCACATGGCTGTATCCGCGTGCCAAGGTGAACCGTGCACTTGTATATACTGGAGCTTTTGCAGATTGCTTAGAGACTCCACGAAATCTCTCTGCATGCTCTCGTCCGCCCCATCATAAGTGGCAAATGCAAGCACCCTCAGTTCTCGAAGGCTGGCAAGCTCCTTGAAAAATCTCTTGGGCTTATCACTGCAACCATTTAATATTATTAGCTCCTCCAGGGAAACCAGCTTCCCAATGCCATCCGGTACCTTTTCTTGAGCACATAGCCGGACCAGATCTTTTAGTTGCACAATGCAAGCTGGCAACGTTCCGCCCACATTGAGTGTTTGCAGTAACTTTAGATTCCCTAGTTGTATGGGGAGCTCAGGGGAACTACCGTAGAATCTTAGACTAAGGTACCTCAAGTGAAGTAAATCACCAAGATGCTCAAGGTGGCAACCTTTCTCAAAGCTGCAATCTACTATGTCCAGCACGCGCAAAAGTTTAAATCTCAAAAATTGGTCCCGGCTATCAATAAAACACTTGAATGTGGTATATGACCTCACTTTTGGCATCCCAGTAACCATTGTTTCAGAATTAATGTGCTTGGCTATTCTGTTTTGGTGGGCTAACTGGCGGACATTGCTTGGTGCTGGTGCTCCTTCAACATTGTCACCTAATATAGTAATAAAGTTTTCATCAGATGAAAGCTTACGCATCAGATCAAGAACCATATCATGAACACGACAGTATTCTACTCTGCCATTCCACTTGCTCTCCACAGGTTGGATCAAGCTTCTATTAATGAGATCATTGAAATATCTTTCTCCAAGCTCAAATAATCTTGTTCCCTGTTTCCCATCAATAAATCCTTCAGCTATCCACTTCCATATCAAAGAATCATTTTCGATCTCATAATCTTCTGGATATGTACTTAGATATAGTAAGCATGTCCTCAAATGTGGAGGCAGATCATAGTAGCTAAATGAAAGTATTGTCATAGTATCTTCAGCTTCCCTGTTATCTGTAGTATGAAAACAAATAGAGTTGTAGACCATTGACCATTTGCATTCTGGTTTACCAGACAACAAACTAGCCATTGTGATGATTGCTAATGGTATACCAGCACATTTCTTTAGAATTTTCTCAGAAATGTCATCTGGATGGTTATGAAGGAACTTTCGGTCTGCTCTAGATAACCTTGTATAAAATAATTTCATGGTGTCATCATAGGAAAGTTGTTTCAGCTTGTAAACCTCCCCAAATGCTTTGGCAACATCAACATTTCGAGTAGTTGTGATTACTTTACTTCCATGATTATTCTCAACAAGTGCTAGTTCGATTGCTTCCCAGGTGCGTACCTCCCATACATCATCAATAACAATAAAATACCTATCCACACCAAAGTGGAAGAACCATTGGTTAGTAATAATGTTGGAGCTTCTATATAATTAAAAAAATTCTAACATTAAAAGTAGTCGCCATTACATATCAAACTCATGACTATTATCAGCCTGTTCGCTTGCTCGTAAACGATCGTAAATTTCCAGCCAGGAACAGTGTTTTTCTCTCAAATCAAACCAGCCAGCAGTAAATAATCCACGATCGTTTACGACCTCCCGAACAGGCCGTTATGTCAGTACAAATATACAGTGCATTGATTTGGCATCACGCCAGAGGGTACAACTTTTCTGGAATCATTGCTTTTTCTAGAGGCAAAGGGCATAGCATCCTCTCCATTCCACATATGCAATGAAACGCTAGTGCCCTCCTCGTTGGCCTGCTCAAACTGCACCATTGCATTGGTACGGAAGTGCGTCAACTTGTGGAAGAAGCTGCGATCACTGGAGTTAATATTGCTTGCTGTTACCGTGGACCATGTTGTCAGGTCGAGATAACGGAGCGCCGGTAACCTAGCTAGGAGTTTCAGATCCTGCTCATCCATAGTAATCACAAACAGCTCCAAGTGGGCCAGGTTGGGAAGACGTGTGGGATTAATGCATGACGGCAATTTGGACAATCTAATTAACTGCCATCCCAAATAATGGAGAGGTCGTGGGAGCACAAAGCCTGCTGCTTCCCACATGGCTGTATCCGCAAGCCAAGGTAAATGGTACACATCTATAAACTGGAGCGTTTGCATATTGCTTAGAGACTCCACAAAATCTCCATGCATGCTCTCGTCCACCCCATCATAAGTGGCAAATTCAAGCACCCTCAGTTCTCGCAGGCTGGCAAGCTCCTTGAAAAATCTCTTGGGCTTATCACTGCAACCATTCATTATTCTTAGCTCCTCCAGGGAAACCAGCTTCCCAATCCCATCCGGTACCTTGTTGTCAGCACATAGCCGGACCAGATCTTTTAGTTGCACAATGCAAGCTGGCAACGTTCCGCCCACATTGAGTGTTTGCAGTAACTTTAGATTCCCTAGTTGTATGGGGAGCTCAGGGGAAGTACCGTTGAATCTTATCCTAAGGTACCTCAAGTGAAGTAAATCACCAAGATGCTCAAGGGGGCAACCTTTCTCAACGCTGCAGTCTACTATGTCCAACACGCGCAAAAGTTTAAATCTCAAAAACTGGTCCCGGCTATCAATAAAACACTTGAATGCGGTATATGACCTCACTTTTGGCAACCCAGTAACCATTGTTTCAGAATTAATGTGCTCGGCTATTCTGTTTTGGTTGGCTAACCGGCGGACACTGCTTGGTGCAGGTGTTTCTTCAACATTATCACCTAATATAGCAATAAAGTTTTCATCAGATGAAAGCTTACGCATCAGATCAAGAACCATATCATGAACACAACAGCTTTCTACTCTGCCATTCCACATGCTCTCCACTGGCTGGATCAAGCTTCTATTAATGAGATCATTGAAGTATCTTTCTCCAAGCTCAAATAATCTTGTTCCCTGTTTCCCATCAATAAATCCTTCAGCTATCCACTTCCATATCAAAGAATCATTTTCGATCTCATAATCTTCTGGATATGTACTTAGATATAGTAAGCATGTCCTCAAATGTGGAGGCAGATCATAGTAGCTAAATGAAAGTATTGTCATAGTATCTTCAGCTTCCCTGTTATCTGTAGTATGAAAACCAATAGAGTTGTAGACCATTGACCATTCGCATTCTGGTTTACCAGCCAACAAACTAGCCATTGTGATGATTGCTAAAGGTATACCAGCACATTTCTTTAGAATTTTCTCAGAAATGTCATCTGGATGGTTATGAAGGAACTTTCGGTCTGCTCTAGATAACCTTGTATAAAATAATTTCATGGTGTCATCATAGGAAAGTTGTTTCAGCTTGTAAACCTCCCCAAATGCTTTGGCAACATCAACATTTCGAGTAGTTGTGATTACTTTACTTCCATGATTATTCTCAACAAGTGCTAGTTCGATTGCTTCCCAGGTGTGTACCTCCCATACATCATCAATAACAATAAAATACCTAAGTGTAAGAACCATTGGTTAATAAAGTTTGGAGCTTCTGCAGAAGCAAGAAATTTGCTAAGATTAAAGGAATTCAGCATGACACATAAAACACAAGGTCGCGTTAGTAAAAATAAAACACATGATGGAAGTTGTGATGGTTAATGGTCAAGGATAATTTCCTTTGCGGTTCTAGTATTTTCCTTTGCGTTTTTTTAGCACCCAAGGTAATTCGGGATTATAGTAGTGATATTTATAGAAACTACACACCAAATGGCCTATTTGAAGAAAACTTCATATTTAAGGACACTTTATTACATAGAACTTACTCATCTATGGCCATGTTGCAAACATAGGCAACCCTAAATCGTTGTTTTTCCTATAATTTATAGTTTCAGAAAGAACACATTTTCAAAATCTAAGCTCGTAAAAATGTTTATGAATTTACTTAATTAAACTATGATGCTTAGAAGTGCTAAATGCATTGTCCTTTTTTATAGCTAGTGAAGTCGTCTAAAAGCTGCATACTTAAAACAAGAGCACTCAGGGCATGGAGTGGAGAAAATCAATCTCAAGTAGTCTCGCATAAATGATGTGGAGATAGCATTTTTAGGATAACATACGACATAGTGTAGCATCGACTAACTGAGGAGCAGTATCTTAAAAGCACAGGCTAAATATAATTTACAATTGGATGTCTGTGTTACCTCTTTTTCTTCAGAAATTCTCGGAGTTGGTGAATGAGGAGCTCGATGCCTCTCTCAGTGTTGTGAATGTCCTTATGGTTTTCACTGTCAAGATGAAAGAGAATATCCTTAAAAACTTTTACCAAGTCATGATCCCGACCGATTGATATGAAAGCCCCGCAGTCGTATTGTGGTTTAAGCTTGTCATACACCACTCTGGCTAGAGTGGTTTTACCCAATCCTCCAACTCCCACAATTGAAACCTTCTTCATCTTCTTATCGGAGACAACAAGATCTGGTTGGGATGTATTAAGCAAGGATACGAGCTCTTCTCTTGACTTGTCGACACCAATGAGTTGTGTCACTTCTTTGTACATAGCTTTAAGGCGAGGATCAATAGTTGACGTTGCTGCGAGTGGCTTGCACATAATCTCATCAACTTTGTATTTCTGACGATTGTTGGCTACCTCCTCGAGACGCTTTGTTATTTCCTTGATCTTTGCTGCAATATCACGGCGAGCCTTGACCTTGCTGAACAGCTCACCCAGCTTCGTCATGGCAAGTTTGAGGCTGCTGGAGTCGGCGTTGGTCTTTCCGCCGTCGACGCGAACGAGGAAGGTGTCGAGGACATCCTCCATGTCGTAGGATGCCTCCCTGATCTCGCGCGCCCACAACTTGACCTGCTCGTCGAGCTGGTCCCATGGCACATCTGAGACCTTGTGGAGGAAAGGGTAGATGCTGTCCAGCTCGCGGGAGAGCGACTCCACTTGCTTCCTCACACCCTTCTGGAGCTTGTACTCACCATGGAGCAGCTGAAGAAGCTTGGGGGCGAGGCTTCCCAGCGCCCCCGTCACCACACTCATGCTTCTTATCTCTTGGTTGGTTCAGACCTTTGCGTAGCGATTTCGTAGTGGTGGTGGCAAGGCTCTAGATGGAGCGAGGCATGCTTGCTGGTGGCTGGGCGTACAGAGCTCACACCTTCGCGGATCCACTCTCTAGACCAACCTTTGCTCACACTACCGAGTTAAAACTCATTGGCATCTGAGAGGCTGAGACTGCAGGTGTCTTTAGAGATGGCACTGATGATTGATGAGCACAACATATGCTGCTCCGCCGTGAGTGGGGGCCGACGACTTGACTTGCGGACCTCTGCCCCTGTCCTCTATTATTGCCTTCAGTTTAGATCTGAGTGCAGTGGCATGCTGGGCCATGACAAACTAGTATGTGCGTTTATACGCTTTTGTCATGCTGATCCATCGCAGGGGATCTCATTCACACGCAAGCCAATTAAGTCAGATAGAAACACTGTGTAGGAGGAGACTCTGGTAAATCTGGAGGGAGATCATAGTAGCTAAATGAGAGTATTGTCATAGTATCTTCAGCTTCCCTATTACCTTCAGTGTCCAAACCAACAGAGTTGTAGACCATTGACCATTCACACTCTGGTTTACCGGCCAACAAACTAGCCATTGTGATGATTGTTAATGGTATATCAGCACATTTTTAGTATAACCTACAACATAGTGTAGCATCGAGTAACTGTGGAGCAATATCTTAAAAGGCACTGGCGAATTACAATTTACAATTGAGTGTCTGTGTTACCTCTTTTTCTTCAGGAATTCTCGAAGTTGGTGAATGCGGAGCTTGAGGCCTCTTCGAGTATTGTGAATGTCCTTATGCTTTTCACCGTCAAGATGAAAGAGAATATCCATGAAAACTTTTACCAAGTCATAATCCCGACCAATTGAAATGAAAGCCCCGCAGTCATACTGTGACTTAAGCTTCTCATACACCGCCTTGGCAAGGGTGGATTTTCCTAATCCTCCAACATTGGAAACCTTCTTCATCTCCTGGTTCGAGGTACCATCATCTGGTTGCAACGTCATCAGCATGGATACGAGCTCATCCCTTGACTTGTCGACGCCAATAAGTTGCGTCACTTGTTTGTACATAACTTTAAGGCGAGGATCAATAGTTGACGTTCTTGCGAGTGGCTTGCACATAATGTCATCAAGTTTGTACTTCTGACGCCTTTCGGCTACCTCCTCGAGATGCTTCTTGATGTCTTCGATGGCACCAGCAATATTGCGACGAGCCTTGGCCTTGCCGAACACTTTACCCATCTTCTTCATGGTGCGTTTCAGCCTGCTGGGGTCGGCGGCATCGACGCGCGCAAGGAAAGTGTCGAGGACATCCTCCATGTCGTAAGATGCCTCCCTGACCTGGCGCGCCCAAACCTTGACCTGCTCGTCGAGCCGGTCCCATGGCAGATCACAGACCTTGTGGAGGAAGGTCTGGATGCCCTCCAGCTCACTGTGGAGCCACTGCACCTACTTCCTCACGCCCTTCTGGAGCTTGTACTCGTCCTGGAGCAGCTGCAGAAGCTTGGGGCCGAGGCTTCCCAGCGCTCCTGTCAGCACACTCATGCTTCTTCCCTTACTTGCTTCAGATCTGGGTGCGGTGGATTCATTGCACTGGTCTGGAGGTTGGTGGTGGCAAGGCGTTTAGTTGGAGGCCTGCAGTAGCTGAAGAGAAGCAACCAGGCAGCCGGGGACTATGGCAGCCATCCATCGATGCGTCCATGTGACGCTGCGCATGCATCCATGCGGCTGAACACCTCACTGTCACCTCACGTGACCATCCTCGACCTCGATTCCATTCAAGCCACCTGCTGTCTCTAAAATTTTCTCATTCTTTACGATGATCAATGACTGGGTCAAAATTTTAGGAGTTCTGAATGCATGTATCGTATTTAAGATTTTTTTCTCCATGCCTCCATCAAAACTCAAAGACGATTCAAGATTGAACAAGTGCAATATATATAGAACAAGAAGAAGCGTGCGTTGTACGTTCAAAAAAAAAGAAGAAGCGTGCGTTGCTCGCCAACGGCTACCAAATCTCTTAGCTACGGGGCAAAATCTTACTCATATTTTAGGCAAAACAAATTCTACTAGTACAAAAATGATTTTAGGAGATGAGGGATTTTATTATAGATCGAAAAGTACCATGGTATAGCTCCAGGTGCTTTCATCTTTTTCTTTTTCTAAGTAACTAATTGAGAAATATATTATACAGGATATTTTAGTAATTGAGGTTGCGCAAAGTAGATGTAACCCTGGCCATGAAGCACACGCGGCCCTGAAGGTGGCCTCACTGGCTGAGCGCGACACACCGGAGGGCACGGACGGCGGCTAGCTAGCGTGCCATGGCGGACTATGAGGCAGCAAGGCTTAGGACGCCGAGCGTGCGGCCGTTCTCAAGACCACTGTCAAGTTCCTGTTCGAGCTCGAGAAGCTGGATGGCCTTCTCCGCAGCATGGCCAAGCTGCTACCGCCATTGCCGGAGCCTAAGGTGAAGCGGGAGCGGCTCGTCGAGGTGCTAGGCGCCGCCCGATCGAGCAGGAGCAAGCACTGCACGTCAACCGCGCCTTCCTCTCAGGCCTCCTCCTGGGAGGGTATATGTGGCGGTCAGGGAGCGGAGGGCGCGAAGCCGCGTGGCGTGCCCTGTTGGAACCGACGCTCCGGCGAGGAGCTCGGCGACGGCGCGACACCGGCAGGTGGTGACCGCGCACACTAAAACCCTATCGAGATCGCGCGAGAGAGAGAGCACGAGGGAGACGATGAACACAGGGAGTTTCACACTGCGAAGCGCAGCGCCTTTGGATGCATTGACTGATCTTATGGATACACAGGCTTTCGCCCCCCACCCGTCACGGTTCCACGACTGCACGGCTCACCATTATTCTCGGTGACCATGCGACATGCATAGACCGCGGCCATGATGGGGGTGACTCCTTCTTCTGCGGCTAGGACGCGATCGTGCACATCTGCAACCCGTCCTAGTTCTACGCTTACAAAACATGATGGTTGTTACACAAATCAAACAACTAATGTCACGCCTAATGCATCTATATGACTGAACACGCTAAGACTTAAAACTCTGACAACGATTACTGAATGACACTGAATAACAAATCACCCCCTTAATCTTGTCAGACCTTCACTATGCCCAACTGCCTTCTCATCTCTGCAAACCTGATCCTGCCCAATGGTTTTGTCAGAATATCAGCTAGTTGGTCGTCAGTGCTCACATGTTCTAGTTCAACCACACCATCAGAGACACATTCCCTGATGAAATGATATCTTATATCAATGTGCTTAGTCCTCTCATGATAGACTGGGTTCCTACTCAGCTCTTCTGCAGATCTACTGTCAATCAGCAACCTGAACCTTTTGACATCAGTACAGGTAAGATCAGCTAGCAACATGCTCAGCCAAACCCCCTGACAAGCACCAGTAGCAGCAGCAATATACTCTGATTCACATGATGATAAAGAGACCACCCTTTGCTTCTGAGAACTCCAAGTGACAAGATTACCACCCAGAAAGAAAGCAATGCCCGTAGTACTCTTCCTCTTTTCTATGTCTCCTGCATGGTCACTGTCAGTGTAGCCAAGCAACTCTGAATTTTTCCCTTTGACAAACTTGTAGCCAAGCTCTGTGGTTCCTGCAACATATCTGATGATCCTTTTGATTGCTGCCCAATGCTCAGAGTTTGGTGACTCCATAAACCTGCTCACCATTCCAACAGAGAAAGCCAAGTCAGGCCTTGAGTTCACCAAATATCTGAGACTGCCCACAATACTTCTGAATTTTGTTGCATTTGACACTAGCTCAGGCTTGCCAGGCAACAGCTTGATGTGCTGTTCCATTGGAGTGTCTACTGGGTTACATCCTTTCATCCCAGCCATCCCAACAATTTTCTGAGCATAAGCACTTTGACAGATCTTGATTTCTCCTGGCTTCTGCTTCACTTCCAGCCCTAGATAGTAGCTGAGTAAGCCAAGATCACTCATATTGAAACTTCCCTTCATCTGTTGCTTGAATGTAGCAATTTGCTTGCTATCTGGCCCACAGAAGATCAGGTCATCTACATACACCCCAACAAGTAGTAGTGACCCTCTTGAACCTCTCCTGTAGACAGCATGTTCTTCAACACTTATCACAAATCCCAACTTATACAATTCTTGATCAAGTCTGGCATTCCAGGCTCTAGGAGCTTGCTTGAGGCCATACAGTGCTTTCCTTAGCTTCAGAACCTTGCCATGTGACTTTGGGTCAGAGTAACCAGGTGGATGTTGCACATATACTTCTTCAAGAAGCTCACCATTCAGAAAAGCAGATTTTACATCCAAATGGTGCACTTCCCATTCCCCCTGGGCAGCTAGAGCCAGCAAAAACCTCACAGTCTCCAGCCTTGCTACAGGAGCAAACACCTCATCATAATCCACCCCCTGAATCTGTGCATATCCCTTAGCTACCAGCCTTGCCTTATGCTTTACAATATTCCCATCAGGATCTCTCTTAACTTTGAAAACCCATTTTAGGCCTATTGCTTTGTGATCTTTAGGCAAGTCACTCAATTCCCAAGTCTCGTTCTGAATAATTGACCGCATTTCTGCATCCATTGCTTCTCTCCAACATTTTTCTTCTAGAGCTTGCTCAATATTAGTTGGTTCATCTGCTGCTAACATGCACACACCACTGTACTCAAAATCAGTGATGATATCAGTTTGCTCAAACAAATCTGTCAGTGTTCTAAACCTGACAGGGCCATCATCTGAATTTTCAGAAGTTGCTGAGGTTTGAGCTGATGGTATCTCCCACCCTTGATTTTGAGATGGAGCTGACTATGGTGTATGTGGAGAGTGTGGTAATGGCACATCACCCCCCTGACCAACTGGATCCTGCTGCATCACATTCTCTGTAGGTGGCTGCAGTTCATCAGCATTTCCAGTTGTTGTCGGATTTCTGTGCAATTCATACTCCTTTGTAAAATTGTCTCATCGGTTGTGCCTGCATCGCCATCTGCATTTGTCCAAGTCCATGGCTCATTTTCACTAAACAACACATCCCTACTCACCACAAGTTTTTGCAGTAGAGGGATCATAGAACTCAGTATCCCTTTGTTCTGATTCATAGCCAATGAAGATCATTTTTCTTGATCTGTCTGATAGTTTTGTCAGGTTTGGACCAACCAGCTTCACACTTGCAGTACAACCAAAAACCTTTAGGTGTGCCACACTAGGTTTTCTCCCATGCCAAGCCTCAAATGGAGTAATGTTGTTCAAGGCTTTGGTTGGAGCTCTATTCAACATATAGACTGCGAGTGCACACCGCTTCTCCCCAAAAACTAGATGGAACTGCATTGCCTTCATCATGCATCTGGCCATTTCAACCTTTGTTTGATTATTTCTTTCAACCACCCCATTCTGCTTTGGGAGAGTAAGGAGTAGTGGTATAGTGCTTGATCCCACCCTCATTGCAGTAAAAGGGTGAACAAATTAGAAGTGAACTCCCCACCTCTATCTGTTCTTAGTGCCTTGAGCTTGCCATCGATTCAACCTCAACCCTAGCTTTAATCTTCTTAAAACACTCCAAAGCCTGATCTTTTGTTCTGAGCAATTCAACCCACATAAACCTGCTGAAGTCATCTACCACCAGTAGAAAATAAGATGCACCTCCTAGTGACTTAGGAGTAATTTGCCCACACAAATCTACATGCACAAGTTCTAGCCCCTTTGTAGCTCTGAATTTTGTCAATTGTGGGAATGGCTTTCTATGTTGCTTCCCAATAACACAACCATCACAGATCTTATCCACTCTACTAACAATTGGTATTCCCTCTGCCATTTTCTTTGTACCAAGATCATTTAATGACTTAAAATTCAAATGCCCAAATCTAGCATGCCATTTCCATGATGCATCTTCAAAGTGTGCAAATAAACAGATTGGAGATGATAACTGAAACTTTGCTAAGTAGAGTCTGTTTGCTGTCCTAGGAGCAGAAATCAACAATTTCCCCCCTGATCAAACACACATAGCTTCCCATTCCCCATGGTTACCACAAAACCCTTTTCTTCTAACTGACCAAGACTGATGATGTTACTTTTGAGTTTGGGGATGTAATAAACCTTGGTCAGTACCTTATGAGTAGACTGGCGATCCTCCATCACCATGGATCCAATGCCCTCGATGTTGACACTGGAGCCATCGCCGAAACGCACTGTTCCGCACACGCCTTCATCAAGCTGCGTGAGTGTTGACCTGGTGCCAGTCATGTGATTGCTGGCCCCAGTGTCCAGCACCCACACGCCCTCTGGAACAAGCATCGGGGTCACCTCCTCCGACAGGTGCACGGTCTGTGTTGGCCGGCGCACAACATCAACGTCACACGCCGCCAACATGAGCGCTCCAGGCTCTGCTCCACCGACGGCAACGTTCACCTCCGGCTGCTTCTGCTCCCTCTTCTTTTCTTTCTTCGGGCGCTTGCAATCCTGCTCCCAGTGCCCGTAAATGTTGCAATTACGGCACCGCCCCTTTCGCCTTGGCGTGCCCTCAGAAGTGAGCCCATACTTGGCCACCATCAGAGTGCGCTGCCGCCTTGCCTTTGTGGTGACCACTACGGCTGCCATGACCGCCGTGGCCGCCACTAGATGCGCCACCGCTGGAGCCGCTGCCGCCGTCTTTGGGGCCCTGGATGAAGTGGTGCTTATGCTTCTCCAGCCAGTCCTCCTCGGCCAGCATGAGATGGCCCATCTTGTCGACGATGTGCTCAACCTTGTCGTCGAGACGTTCCTCCGCCACGTGCAACCGCCCCACTAGCTCCTCCACAGTCATTTTCTTCATGTCGCAGAACATCTCGATTGAGACGACCACCGGGCTGAAACGTGAAGGAACCACGCGCAGAAACTTCTTGATCACGCACGAATCCTCCACTATCTCCCCCATGGTCTTGAGTTCTGCGGCAAGATTTGAGATCCTCATGCTGAATTCATCAATTGATTCGGCCTCCTTGAAGGCGATGTTCTCGAACTCGCGCAAGAGCCTCTGGGCCTTCACCTCCTTGACCTGATCAGCGCCGAGACGCATTGTCTCAACCCTCCCAGGCCTCCTTCACCGTCTTCTTCCGCCCCAGCATCTGCCACATGTCGCGCGGCACAGAACGCAGGAGCGCCGCCATGGCCTGATGATCATGCGCGCGCTTCACGTTGGTGCCTGGATCGATCGCATGCCAGATCTCCAACGCCTCCAGATTGCACTGCATGATCATCACCCACTCGGCGTAGTTCGCTCGATCCAGCATGGGCCAAACCAGCGAACTTTCCTTGACGCCGGATCCAGAGCTTGATGTCCCTTCTCCAGTCATCTTCTCCGGCGCCGATCTCCTCGGGATCACTCTCACTTTCCTCGGTGGTTCACGCGGCGGACTGATGGATCCACCCGTGTACATAAACCGGCTCCGATACCAGAATGTTGGAACCGACGCTCCGGCGAGGAGCTCGGCGATGGCGCGACACCGGCAGGTGGTGACCGCGCACACTAAAACCCTATCGTGATCGCGAGAGAGAGAGAGAGCGCGAGGGAGACGATGAACACAGGGAGTTTCACACTGCGAAGCACAGCGCCTTTGGATGCATTGACTGATCTTATGGATACACGGGCTTTCGCCCCCCACCCGTCATGGTTCCACGACTGCACAGCTCACCATTATTCTCGGTGACCATGCGACATGCATAGACCGCGGCCATGACGGGGGTGACTCCTTCTTCTGCGGCTAGGACGCGATCGTGCACATCTGTAACCCGTCCTAGTTCTACGCTTACAAAACATGATGGTTGTTACACAAATCAAACAACTAATGTTACGCCTAATGCATCTATATGACTGAACACGCTAAGACTTAAAACTCTGACAACAATTACTGAATGACACTGAATAACATGCCCAACGCCGGGCTGGGCCATGATGTCATGTTGACGTCATATACGCTCTTTTTTCCTTTCAAAATTAAAGAAGAAATGTCTTCAAATACAAGTACACGTATCTCATCGAGAAGCTATCCCATTTCTTAGCTTGAATGACAGTACTAAAATGACCGATTAGCCATATTCAGAAAAAAATGAAAAATAGATATTGCTCTACATATTTTGGTACTGGTCCGACCTAAGTTGGTATTAACCCCCACCAATTTGGTACCTCCATGTACTTTCAGTTAGGTATCTCCTATTTTTACACCGTCCGATTTCGCCCAATGAATGGTCCATATTTTTCCATATTAAAATTTTACATTTTATTAATAGAGGCGGTCTGAAATTGGAAGCATCTCCAAAAATAATATTTTAAGGCAAACCACATCTTACTAATACAAAAATAATTTCAGAAGACAAGGAATTTTATTAAGAGAGGTGGTCTGAAATTTTTAGCATCTCCAAATACGTAATGAAATTCAGATTGGAGGTAGGGCTTTAATTGCAACTCACAACCTCAAAAAGAGGAAAATGCAAAAAAAGAGAGGAAAATTCTGACTTAACTTGTGCCCTGTTTGTTACTGGACTAAAGTTTAGTCACCTGACTAAAGTTTAGTCACCCCTTGAGGACTAAAGGGGATTGAACTATTTGTCGGTGCAGAATGTGACCAACTAGTAAATATTTGTAGTTTTATCGTACGTTGTGATTGGAGGTGGCCTAGCACTCAATGACACAGGGTTTATACTGGTTCAGGCAACGTGCCCTACGTCCAGTTTGAGTCGGTCGGTGACTTTATTCCTGAGCCCAGGTGCTTGAAGTCTGCAGTGGGGTTACAAACGAGAAGGAGAAAGATGGGGTGTACAAGAGGTCCGGTCGGCTCCGGTCGGAAGGGCCGAGAGCGACAGGAGCTACGCTATGAGCTAAGTGTTCAAGCGTATGCTTGAGGTCCGAACCTGACGGTTCTATGGTTGTGGACTAGAGAACTTGGTTGACCTAATGAATCTGGGAAATGCTCTTCAAAGGCCCCCCCCTAAAAGCCAAAAGCCTCCGAGAGAGAAAGGCCTCTCCTTTCTTAGAGGGAGCGCATCCCATTTTATAGATAAAGGGGATGGCTTTACAAGTGAGGGTACGTATGCTACTGAGCTCTATTGTCCATGCCGGTGGGTACAAGATAATGGTAGGCGCCTACAACACTGTTGATGTTACTGTAGAATGTCAGATGCATGTGGGAGGTTGTGTTTGCCTTCTTCAGGAATGGTAGACGTCGGTACCTATAGATGATGTTTGATGCCTAGAGGCATGTGAGGAGTGTCACCACGTTCACCCCATACGGTAAATCCCGGCGCCCACAACACTATCGAGACCCGAAAGCACGTGGGGCGCCTTACCGTACGGGAGTTTTAACAACGCCTACAATACTGTAGAGATAAATGTCGGCGCCTACAATACTGTAGAGTTAAATGTCGGCGCCTACAATACTGTTTGTGTCAGGGTGGTTGCAGAGTACTGTTCCTGCAGGTGTACAGGGTATGGTCCCTGGTATCGTGGTTTGACTTTACGCACCCTGGCTTGCTTTCTCCGTTCGCCCCTGGCTCCTTTTGAGTGGGCCTCCCCAGTCGGATGGCCCCAGTCGGTTCTGGCCGCACCAGTCGGAGAAGAGCGGTGAGCAGGGTTTCTGTGCCCCCCGGTCGGCGACGCGGGGTCGGAGTTGGAAGTAGCGCTTTGGGCCAGGCCTTTCGATCTGTTTTGGCCGTCCGGAGGCGGCTGGAGTCTGAAGCGAGCGGGCCGGTCGGAGAGGTGGGCCGAAGTAGTTGACGAGCGGGCGCCGTTCTTCTTCGTCCAGACCTTCCGGTTGGTGACCGGACCGCCCTTCTGGCCCGTTGTTTTAGACTCCTGGGCCGGCCCATGAGTTGTGTGCTGCCTGTTTGGGCCGAGCCTCGGCGTGGAAGTCGGTCCCTGAGGGACCCCGGGTTTATGAACCCAACACTACTTTTGGGCATATTTGGTTAAATGGGACTAGAGACTACTGAGCCCATTTTAGTTCTAAATAGTCCCTACTTTCTCGAACACATGGACTACTAAAGGGACTAGAAGACGTTTGGGCTGTAGTCCTTGAAGGATGGCTATTTGGGACTCATAGGCCAAGTTGACAAACCATGCCCTTATCTCTCTCCTCTTTTATTGTGTTGGGACCATCCGTGTCTGCCCGCTGTAGCGTGCGCCTCCGCGGCCTGGAGCACCGATAGCAACTGTGTGATGAGGCTATGCGCGACGGCGACGGCGAACAAGGAGCTCACGGCCCCTGGAGCTCACGGCCGTGCACGGGGAAGGCTATGGCGGTGCGGTCAGCCCTTCCTCCAAGTATCGGCGACGGCGTCTTCTCTCCCTGGATCTGACAGCGTGGAGGCGCCCGCCTCCGCTCTCCACCATCCCGGCGCGCAACGAGATGGTGGTGAGCTCTTGTCCGCGGCGGAGACGGTGGCCAGCTCTGGCATCCCGGTGCCCCTTCCCCACCTCCGGCATCTGGCAGCCCCTCCCCACCTCCGACATCTTGGCGCCCCCTCCCCACCACAGCCCGCGGCGGCGCCCCTCCCTGGCCGCGCGTGCAACTGTCGGCGAGAAGGAGCTCGGGCGGGAGTGGCGCGGTGTGCCCCATTCCTCGGCGCGGCTAGGCAAGAGAAGTAGGGATATTTTGGTCTTTATTTATCTACCTTAATGGTCTTTAGTTTCTTTGAGTCCCTAAAACCAAACAGGACCTTAGTCACCTTTTAGTCTCCACGTTTGACTTTTTTTTAAAAGGACGGTAAAAGCTTTGCCGCGATTTCTATTAGACAATGAAAGAAAAAAAGGCAAGTGCCAGTCCAGTTTTTTGAATTGGAATTGGACCAGAAAAACCATACAACCGAGGAGAGTGCCTCACTCATCCTGCATTACTTTGGTATAACTATCACAACTCACGCCACTACTTGTAGCTTGGTCGAATCGACCCAACTAACAACTACCCAACTAACAACAACTTGGCCGAAGAAATGATCCATTGGAGCACCGAGCACCACCTGAATGATGGAGAAAAAGTGTCCCATTTTAGGTCACTCGACGACTATAAATGCAATCATCCAGGGTTTTGACGTTTTGTCATCTGGACATGAGGAGACAAATCACATTTGCTTTTGCCACTTAATTGGTGTCGCACTTGTATTCATAGGGATGACGACTGTACTAGTAGGTTGTGACACTGCATTTTTTTTATTTTTTTTTGCAGCACGGGATGCGGCTGGCAGATGTGGACAAAATGGAGTTATTTGATCCGGCAGACCGTCAGACCATGGCAAAGGGCAGATCTACCCACCCCGGAGCTTCCCCAGCACCCCGCTATAATCGGCTCACAGGCACATACCAAACACCAGCTGGCCATCAGCATCACCTTTATAAAAATATACAAAAAATACAGGATAATAATAGAGATTTGGACAACCCCGACCTCCGCTGAACACAGCAAATGGCACCGCGCCACGGACTCCAGCCGGAAAGGATGTCGGGTCTGCTAATGCGCCACGGACTCCAGCAGGCAGGGGGACGCTTTTATCCGACATGTTCAATGGCGAGAAAGTGTTGCTGGCCCGAAAGAACAAACGTTCAATAGACTCAAGATCAGGAGAGGAATGACGGGATGAGACCCCAAATGAATGTGGGTGATGGCTTGTCTTCTCCTGACACCGGTTTGGACTTTCTGAGCTTTCGCTTACTACGTCCATTCAGTCCAAACTATGGGATATACTCACTGTTTCCAGTTCTGTAATTCAGGGCAATCCATTTTTTTTTAGATAAAGGATAGAAACTATCCGGCTTCATCTACCCGTGGGTAGAATCAGACCAAATTATTACAGCATAAAAAATTAAAGAAAGAAATTGACCGAAGAAAATACATCCCCAACAAGGAGCTCGAGTAGTCCTACGTGACCTCTGACTTCCACCGTGATGTCAATTCCACAGAATAAGATCACCAACGTCAAGACGAAGCCGCCAAACACGTTTGTCAGACCTAATAAAGGTACTGAAAACGTTGGACACCGACCACCATTGAAGACTGGATGCTTCTTCCTTGGCAACAGCACGAAGCACTTGGTGTAAACCACCAAACGCCGAGCTGTTACGCCAACGAATGCCGCCTCCGCCTTGAGCTGAACACCGAACAGGGTAACCACACGGGAAAACTGCCCGGCCTTGGCGATCAAGAACTTCGACGACGCGCCTGCGCCATCGCCGCCGGCCCGGAGAAACCAGGCTAGGTTTTCACCCAGTTATTGAACGCCCGCGGATGCAGCAAGGGACGGACTGACCAACGGCTTCAGCGGCGCCTTCAACAAGGTGCATGGCACAGAAGTTCCACCGCCGCCG